TGCCATTAATGGGTCTCCTTCTGGATTCCCTTCAGTCTCTTGTTTCCACCTTTTCAGCTGTCTCTGTACATATGTGGTTGGATTTTCTTTGTCCTTTTACTCTGCACACAGTGCCTGCCACACTGCTGGACAGAATGCATCAAAAATAATTCCATCCATATTATGAGAGTTCATTGCTCTGTCCTGAGTAGTTGTTTGAAGAATTTCATCCATCTTTGCCCCTCCTACTATTTTAGCCAGCAAAGCTTTAATGTCCCCCACAGCCAAAAGTTTGCCCATAGTTTCTTCTTCAAATACTCGAATCCATTTTCCAGCCCCCTCATGAATATCTGGGAGACGAGTGACCAGCCCCTCGAGGTCCTGTGAGGCCCAGGGGACATACTGTCCCTGCGCACCCTTGATTAAAATTGGGAGTTGTGCAGCCAGTGGTCTGAGGTTTTTTTTTTTCTGCCCTGTTCCCATTTTCCACTATCAAATAACTCCTCACCTTCACTCACATCCTCAGTACTGTCGAACAACTTACTTCTCCCTCTTTCCAATTTTTTTACCTCTTGTGTATCTTTTTTTCCTGATTCTTTAATTTTCTCTTCTATTCCTTCTAACACGTCCTCAAATTTTGTTCTATCTTGGTTTGTTTTCATCTTTTCTAACGCTATGCGTGCCTGTCTATAACAATCCATCTGTAAATATCCTTCACTTTCTTTTCTCTCTTGCCTCTATGTTTTTACAGCTGGTTCCTTTTTTTCTTCCAACTCTACTGTCCTTCCATTTCCAGTTCTCCTGTTACTTCTACTGTTCCCTTGAGGATTGGGAACTCTCCCTCTGTGGGCAAATAGGGGGGTGGCTCAGAGAATAATTTTTCTTTTTTCTTCGTCTTTTTGTCTGCCTCCTTTAGTATTATTCTGGCCTGTTTTATACTTTTTAATGTGTCCTCTTATTTGTTGTGCTCTTCTTCCATTTGTTTGAGATTTTGTTTATTAACTCTTTACACAGTGGATATTTTAATCCTAATATTTCCACTGGAGTGGCTGCCATAGTTTTTCCTATAATATTACAATCCAATTTTTTTCTATTTTAATTATTTTAACCAATTTCTCCTAATTTTAGTCTTTATTCTGTCTGATGCATTTACCCTTTTTTGTATGAATTGATAGTCTCAACTCTATTTTACAATCACTCAGTATGTAATCTTTTCTAAAAATAATTATTTATTTATCTTTACTTCTCTTTGTTATTTTTTTCCGCACTTATAATTATTTTTAATATACTTATTTAACTTACTGCCTTGATCTCACTTCTACTGCACTGATCTCTGAAAA